CTTCTGAGAATCCAGGGATGACTGGCACTTGGAAGAGCTCCCCAGGAGCCCTTTGCTAGAGCCCTCCAGGCCTAAGAACTGAGGTCCAGGGGCGCCTCCCCTGGCAGGGCTGTGAATCCAGAGGGGGCAAGGGGCTTCTGACCTGTGCAAGGGCTTGAGCCTGCTTGAAGCTAAGTGTCCATCAGAATCCCACTAGCTTTCTCTTTCTGGCTGGATCCTATGTGAATTATCCCACCGGCCCTGGGTGGCTCCAAATCATAAATTCTCACCAACATAAACAGGAGTTGATGTCTCTAGAAAGACTTTCAGAGTTTTCTTTCTTCTCTCTCTCTCTCTCTCTCCTCTCTCTCCTCTCTCTCCTATTGTATTTTTATGCACTTTCCCTTTTAAGTAAAAATGTTGCAAGTGTTTCTTTAAAAAGGAAAAATGTTGCAAGTGTTTCCCCAAAAAGGGGGCCCTTGAGAAGACAGAGGAAAAGAAATGCAAGCGCCCTTTGCCCACTTCAGCGATGCCACTGTGCCCTGTAGTCGCACCCTCACCCTTTTTAGACCTATTGCCACCCTCACACACATCCCCTCTACTCCCAAGATTTCAGTCACTCTCCTTCCTCTGGGCGCCATTTTTTAAGTGAATTTTACTTTTCTTGATTTTTTTTTAAGTATTGGAGGACATAATGCTGGTTTAAGTGGTGGGGACTCACTTCATGGAATGTCAAGCAAGGATGTCTTGTAGAATTTCTGGGAAATCCCTTGAATTGGGATGGAGCGCCACTCAAGAAGTGATCCGGATGTAAATTTAGAAAGGGGCAGATATAAAAAATTAAATAAGATTGAAAATGCAGGAATCTCTCTGGCCCTGGTTCTGGCCACAGCATAGCAAAGTTAGTTGGGGTTGAGAGATTTCCTGGGAGTACACCTCTACTTCCCCTGGGCCCAAGGCCCTGTTCATGGACATGCACCCCTCCTTTACCCCCAAACCAGTTCCTTTACATATATATTTTAAAAAGAAATCCAAGTCTTACTTTCAAAGCACACACTTAGTCTCAACTAGGGAATCAACAGAAGCAGAAGCGATTTTTTTCCCCCTTCTTGACATCTGGCTTGCGATTGGCTGGAAGGGGGTCAGCTGACTTTGTCATTTTGTCTGTCCTGGATTGGAGCCGTCCCTATAACCATCTAGTTCCGAGTACAAACTGGAGACAGAAATAAATATTAAAGAAATCATAGCCCGACCAGGTAAAGGCAAAGGGATGAATTCCTACTTCACTAACCCTTCCTTATCCTGCCACCTCGCCGGGGGCCAGGACGTCCTCCCCAACGTCGCCCTCAATTCCACCGCCTATGATCCAGTGAGGCATTTCTCGACCTATGGAGCAGCCGTTGCCCAGAACCGGATCTACTCGACTCCCTTTTATTCGCCACAGGAGAATGTCGTGTTCAGTTCCAGCCGGGGGCCGTATGACTATGGATCTAATTCCTTTTACCAGGAGAAAGACATGCTCTCAAACTGCAGACAAAACACCTTAGGACATAACACACAGACCTCAATCGCTCAGGATTTTAGTTCTGAGCAGGGCAGGACTGCGCCCCAGGACCAGAAAGCCAGTATCCAGATTTACCCCTGGATGCAGCGAATGAATTCGCACAGTGGTGAGTTTTACAGCTCCGAGATATAAATTAAATAAACTGAACTGGCTTTATGACCGGCTTCCCTAGAAGAACGGGCGGAGAGAGTTTTTTATGGCCCCATAAAAACAATCACGCTCGTCTCCTCGCCGACGCCGAGACAGGGCCCCCTCTTCTGCCCCCTCTGCTCGCCTCGCGAGCTGGCTCACAGGGGCCTGGCCCCCCTCGGCCCCTAACGGATTGGAGGGCTCCAAGGCGAGCCGAGGAGGAAGGAATAGGGCAGGGTGTGAAGGGAGGGGGCAGAGGTAGCCCCCCAAAGTCGAGTCAGGCTGAGGAGAAGGGAGGGGGAGAGAGAGGGCAGAAAAGTGGGAGAACTTTCCAAGAGCTAGGGTGCTTGGGGAGGCGGGAAAGCCTAGTCCTTGAAAAATGGGGCCTTCATTTCCAGTATTTAGGATTTTTCAAAAATCAGCTTTTAGGCTGTCAGCTTTCTGCCTGTTTTTTTGCCCCGCCCCCCACCTTTCTTTGGGATATACATTTCCCACCCTGTGGGAAGACTGAATGAAGTGGGGTCCTGGCTGTACCCCCCAGTGGGGGTGGGGCTCAGTAAAGGGAGAGGAGGCTAGAGCCCGAGGGGGCCGCGAGCTGTTGGCCAAGTTGAGAGGGTTAGGACTTTGCTAGGCGAAACCGTCTGCAGAGGACGCCTTGCTGATTGTTTTTAGTGTGTTTTGTGCCCGGATCTCTAGGGGTCGGTTACGGAGCGGACCGGAGGCGCGGCCGCCAGATCTACTCGCGGTACCAGACCCTGGAACTGGAGAAGGAATTTCACTTCAACCGCTACCTAACGCGGCGCCGGCGCATCGAGATCGCCAACGCGCTCTGCCTGACCGAGCGACAGATCAAAATCTGGTTCCAGAACCGCCGGATGAAGTGGAAAAAAGAATCCAATCTCACGTCCACGCTCTCGGGGGGCGGCGGAGGGGCCGCCGCCGACAGCCTGGGAGGAAAAGAGGAAAAGCGGGAAGAGACAGAAGAGGAGAAGCAGAAAGAGTGACTAGGACTGTCCTTGCCACCCCTCTGTCCTCCCTAGCTCACGCTCACCCCAACTCTTCCCTAATCACACACTCTGTATTTATCACTGGCACAATTGATGTGTATTGACTCCCTAAAACAAAATTAGGGAGTCAGATATGGACCTGAATGTCAGCTCTGGACCCCCTCCCTCTCCGCACAACTCTCCACCACGCGCGTCTCCTCCTCTTTTTCCTAGCTCCCTTGCTAGCTCGTTCTTGGCTTGTCTGCAGGCCCCTTTCCCCGTCTAGGCCTTGGGGGCTCAGTCCCTGAACCTCGCTTCAGACTTCACAGATTTCCCTCCAGATGAGGACTTGGCAGCCCCCCCTACACACACGACACTCCCTCGACGCCCCCCCCCCCCCCGCCTTCGCCCCCGTGCAGCGCGCCGGCTCCCTGAACCTGGGGCCTCCACTCCGGGGCCTCAGGGCCCGGCCTGGCAGCCGGGGAGGGCGGCAGGCCCAAGGAGGGCGCGCCTTGGCCCCATAGCCACCCCCAGGGCCTCCCCTCAGCCCCTGCCTGGCCCCTCTGCCCCAGCAAATGCCCAACCCAGGCAAATTGTATTTAAAGATTCCTGGGGGTCATTATGGCCTAATACAAACTGTGACCGTTTCTGTGTGAATATTTTTAGCTGTATTTGTGGTCTCTGTATTTATATTTATGTTTAGCACCGTCAGTGTTCCAATCTCATTTTAAAAAGGAGAAAAAAAAGAGGGAAAATTACAAAAACAGAAAAAAAAGTGAATGACGTTTGTTTAGCCAGTAGGAGAAAAATAAATAAATAAATAAATAAATAAATCCCCTCGTGTTACCCTCCTGTATAAATCCGACCTCTGGATCCGTTCTCGAATATTTAATAAAACTGATATTATTTTTAAAAGTTTATATCCGTATTTTTGTTCAATCGCCCGCCCACCGGCCTGGAGCAGGCTGCAAAGCGCTCCCGTGTCTGCCCGCCTGCGCCCCCAGCCCTCTGCACTCGCCTTCCCCGGGAGCCGAACGGGCCTCGGGGTTCTTGTGATCACGCTGGAGACCTAGGAGGCCCCTCTGGGCTCCCTAAGCCAAGCCACACACACCCCGCGAAAAAAAAGCCACTCAGGCTTTCGTTGGGGGCAGGGGGAAAGCCAGGCATAGTTGGATTGGGCTCCAAGCGCACACAGGCCTTTCTTCCATCCTCTGGTAGCCTGGGGTCCTCGGTTTCGGAACCCCGAGCCCCAAAAGGCCAGAAAAGGAGCACTACCTAGGCACCAGGTCACCCCACCCACTCCCAGGAGCGTGGGGTGGGGGACGCCAAGTGAGCCAGCCCCCGGCCTGCTGTTGCGAAACCAGTCAGAGAACCGAGGGGAACGAGAAGACCGCGGGATTCTAGTCCTTCCGCAGGGATTGAGCGACTCAAGGACATCGCGAAAGAGAAAGCCTGGACACTGAGCTCTCGGCCCGCGCTGGGACTCCAGACGTGTTCGAGACAAAAATTCTTCCTTACAGCCCCAGCCTGTCTGGTTCCTTCCTCTTCTCTCCTCAAACCTGGTGGATGAGAGGCTCAGTAGGACCCAGACCATTTCTCAGTTCCAGCCTCCTCTTTCCAAGCCCCTCCAGAGAAACCTGAGTGGGCCTAGGGGAGAGGTGTGAGTGTGTGTGGGGGAATCTCCCAGAGTGAAAGAATCCGCCAGAGTTTTCCAGACTCTCCAGATCCCCAACACCGCCCCCTCCAGTGCCTCTGCCAGCTAAGAGGGGTCTTCTCCTGGCAGAGGAGGTGATTTCCTGGGGGAGGGTAAGCAGGAAAAAGTAAGACTTGAGACTAGAGGGGAACGGGCCAAAAGGTGGCAGAGACCCTGGCCAAAAGCTGCCAAGGTTGCTTAGGCGCCTGCCCTGTCCACCCGGCCTCTCTCCCCACCCCATTTCCATGCCTCCAAAGAGCTCAGAAATTGTTTTCCTGTGGGCCTTCTGGATTCAGGTTTCTGGAAAGCCTAGTCCAGGGGCCCTTTCTCCTGGACTAACAGGCCTTTTCCTCTGCCTTGCTCATAATTTTTGTGGAGGCTTGGATCTTGCCTCACCATGCCCTCAAGTAGCATCTATTTTGTATCTAAAATATCTGGCATCTGTACCACTATGAGGATCACACACAGGGCTGCAGAGCAGTCCTCCAGCCCATTGTGTCTGGTTACACACACACACACACACACACACACACACACACACACACACGAGAACTGCCCCATTGCCACTTTGGGGACCCTAGCATGGTGGAGTGTGTCTATCCAACTCCACCACCTCCTCACCTCCAAGCGCATCCCAGGCAGTCCCCAGCACTCCCAGCCTTATCACCTCCCTATCTACTTTTGCCTACCCAAGACCCCTCCTCTTGGACATCCTGTCTATCTCTTCAGAGACTGAGTCCACTTTTCCATGCTGTTAAGCACCTCCCATGCAAGGAACCTTGACCTCCTATTTAGGGAACCTGAGATAAGCCCCCCTTACTTCTCCAGCCTGGGAAAGGCACGCTGTACTTAAATCGTCTTTCCTTGGTCATTTTTGAAGTTTGGAAGGCTCTGGAGGTAGGGAGAACGGGACTAACTATTACAAAAAGCACTTCTGTGTTTCCTGAATGGGGTCTTATCTTTTCCCAAATTTAAATAGAATTTAAAAGTCCAGCCAAATGGTTTGTTTCAGCCACAACCAGTTTTTCAAACAGAAAACCCAACCGCCAGAAGGCGAACCTCCGCGTCAGGATGCAATTCCTCCAAGTAGGCACCAGGTGTCGCTGTGGGCTCGTTGTCCCGGCTACCCCCCAATTCCAAGAACCATTTTTTTCCCCTTCCCCTTCCCTCTCTTTTTCTCTCTCCCTCTCCCCCTTGGTTGGGCTTTGCCAACATATCAAGATGCGTTTCGCCGGCTTCCATCACTAACCTCCCGGAGGTCATCAAGCCAAATTTATGAGTGGCCGCTGGAGTCACGTGACTCTATTTAAGGCTCCCTTATTTGGGAAGAGCGCATAGGATAAAGAAAGAGATATCTCCACCTATAAATTGTGCACTTTGGAGAACAAAAACCCCCTCAACTTCAAAGAGTCACAAATCACCCTTAATCAAAAAGGGTGCAGAAATTTTTTTTGGGCCCTCCCCGCCATGAGCTCCTACGTAGCCAATTCATTCTATAAGCAGAGCCCCAATATCCCTGCCTATAACATGCAAACTTGTGGGAACTATGGATCGGCCTCAGAGGTGCAGGCATCCAGGTACTGCTACGGCGGATTGGACTTAAGCATCACTTTCCCACCGCCTGCGCCTTCCAACTCTCTCCACGGGGTAGACATGGCTGCCAACCCCCGGGCTCACCCCGACCGCCCCGCCTGCAGCGCCGCGGCCGCTCCGGGACACGCTCTGGGCAGAGACGAAGCGGCTCCTCTGAACCCCGGGATGTACAGTCAGAAGGCGGCTCGTCCGGCGCTGGAGGAGCGAGCTAAGAGCAGTGGGGAGATCAAAGAGGAGCAGGCGCAGACAGGGCAACCCGCCGGACTGAGCCAGCCACCGGCCCCGCCACAGATTTACCCGTGGATGACCAAACTGCACATGAGCCACGGTAAACTTTAGGACTTCATTTTTCGCGCTCGGGTCCGCCTGGGTTTTATAGGCCATGCGGGGCAAATAAAGAAAAAAAACCTGCGGCCATAAATTTTACGATCCAGGCATCAATGGCTCGTAAAACTGTCCACTAAAAGGCTTAGAGGCTGTGTGCGCCCAAATTTACGACGACATAATTGGATCATAGGAACAAAACGTGTATAAAAGGCAATATTCAATTTTTGGGGGAGAGGGAGGGAGTTAAAAAAATAGAGGGATCTGAAGGGTGAGGAGCGCGGGGCTCCAGAGCGGGGATCCCCCCGCGGCTCCCTCCCTCCCTCCCCTGCGGAGCCCGCTCGGCCGGCGCTCGCTGCTCCGGAGGATTCCAGCGACTCGGGAGGGGCGGGAGGGGGGTCCCCGGTGCTCGGATCTCGAGGGTGCTTATTGTTCGGTCCGAGCCTGGGTCTCCCTCTCCCCCCCACCCCCCCTCAGCCCCTCCGGCTGCTGAGTGAAGGCTGCAATGGAAAGTTTCCTGCCTAGGCGGAGGCGCCTCGCCCGGGGCTGGGCTGGGCTGCCTGGGCCCGCCCGCCTGCGGCCCGTGCGGGGCCTGTCTTTAGGGCGCTCTCCTCCTTTTCCTCCGGCCATGGGTGGGGGCCTGGGTCAGGGGTGGGGCGCTGGCCGCTGCACGCTATTCACCCCTTCCTGGCTTGGGGGGATTTATGTTCCAGAGACCGACGGCAAGCGGTCCCGAACCAGTTACACACGCTACCAGACTCTGGAACTCGAGAAAGAATTCCACTTTAACCGCTACCTCACTCGCCGCAGGCGCATAGAGATCGCCAACAACTTGTGTCTCAACGAGAGACAGATCAAGATCTGGTTCCAGAACCGCAGGATGAAGTGGAAGAAAGATTCCAAAATGAAAAGCAAAGAGGCTCTTTAGAGGCAGCGGAGAGGCCCGCAGAAAGCACCCTAGTCGGCTTTGGTCCCTGCGCCTTTCCTTTTTCGGTTTTCCTCTTTCTATATTTTGGGGCAGAGGCTGGAGCATTGGCTCCCGGGCCTCACAGACAAAGCGCTTTTCCTTGGCATTCTGCATCCCCACCGACCCAGGGTTCCCACGGCTGCCCGCACTGCCCGTCTTCCCTCAGGTCAACTGGGCACCCAGGGCCCAGGGCAGCTCCGCAGGGCTTGTAGGGGGTGGGGGTAGGGGGGCGGCTGCAAGACACCAGAAGCTGGTGCTGAACCAACCTCAGCCTGGACCGCCTGTCTGGCTCCCAGCATTAGTTCCGTCCTGCCTGAGTTAAGGTGGGTCGGGTAAGCTATGGGCCCCTTGCTGAGACCTCCGAGTTCTCCCTCTTCTTTGTTCCTGGCTAGGCAGGCCAGGCATCTGCAGGCTGGTAAGAGAGTGGTTTGTGCCTGGTAGCATCTACCGCAAAGTTGGGGTGCTTCCTCATAGCGGCTGAACTCCAACTTCACTTATTAATGATTTGCATATAAAAGGAGGAGATGAGTGACCTGAAGGTGCCCTATGCTCTCCAAACCTTCTACCCACCCCAAAAGCCCAGGGAACCTCCCCATCCCACTCTTGGTGCATGCCCTCTCAGGTTCACAGCTCCAGCCTGCTAGCTAGCTCAACTATTGGGGTTTCCTACCATTGGACCCCAGCAAGTGGTTTTAGAGGCTCCTTGCTATCCCATAGTTCCTGCCATGACTTTCTTGCCCTCCTGCCCCATCGCTGTTGCTCAACTATTTATTGACTCCGGTTCTTCCTGAAACTATATTTTGTCATATCAAATAAAGATGAAGAGAGAACAGGATTGAAGATGCGGTGGTTCCTGTCTGTTCAGGGCATGTATTGGGTAACTAAGCGAGAAGTAAAATGTAGGAGGAGGCTCATGACCTTTAAGACTTCCTTTAAAATTTCTTTTTAGAGATATTTCTAGGGACGGCAAGAAGGAGGAGGTGAGATTGAGTGCTTTTTCTGATTCTTGGCTCCGAGAAGGACCTCTGGGGAAGAGAAGGGCACCCTAGCCTTCTGTACTGGCTTTTCCTATGCTGTGGCTAAGATGTCTAGGGTCTCTGCACCCCATTCACACTTTGACTGAATGCATCTGAGGCTTCTAGACAGGTAGTAGCCCCACTCTGTGCCAGAGCTAATGTGTAGGGACCAGTGACTCTGCTTTGCTCAGATTCAGGCCCTTCTGTCCTCTGAAGATTTCTCCTGGGGTTGGGTGGTCTCTGAGGGGCCTTACTGGACATTCTAGAGACACATTTGACTCCAGAAGGACTCCTTAGAAAGAGCTGGTGCTGCCTGGTAAATAGGTGCTAGGGGAGTTGGGCAAGGTATGTTTCAGCTTTCTGAGAAACAGGAAGAGGGAATGAGGGAGGGCAATCAGCAGTGTGCACCGTCTGGCAGGACATGTTCAGACTGCTTACCCTTGGCCTTCTAGGGCCCAGGGCTATACAGGACAATTAACTGGGTTAAGAACTGCATAGACTAGTGCAGGAGCTGCGTCTGTTTGTCATCATTTATCTCAGTCTTTGAGATTTTGTGTGGAGGGGGAGGGTGGCCTACAGGGAGAGGAAAAGACAGCTAATGCAGGTGGTGCCTGAGGCTGGCCTAGGCCCATTCTGTACTTGGATCCAAGCTCCAGGGATGGGCTGGGGGAGGAAGCACTTTACAGGAGAAACAAATGTGGGAAGGGTCCATAAAACTTTACTGCATTTCCTCTCTCGCCTCCCACAATGGGGTGATTTCCTGGAGCCAAGCCTAGGCCCCCCACACTGGTGGGGTGGGGGTCTGGAGCTGGGCTAAGGGCTGCTCTAGCAGCCAGGAGGGAAAGGGGGCAGGGCAGCTCTGAGAGGAGCGGGAGAATATTTGTGATTATTAAGGCTGATGCTCCTTGGATTTATTATAAGGACTGACTGACTTCGTTGCATCCCACTGCCTAAGCTACCCGTAGAAGACCCAGGAGCCTTTCCTGCCCCATGCTTAACATGGAGGAGGTCGGAGCAAGTGTTTATTGAGCTGCATCCATTACTACCACTCTTCCTCTTCACACTGCTCGGTCCAGGTTAGCATGCCGGTAACATCTTTCCTCAACTTGCACACAGCAGGGGCAGCCCAGTTCAGTCCCAGCTCGTGCTCGCGCGCTCTCTCTCTCTCTCTCTTGCTCTCTCTCTCTCTCTCTCTGAAATAAAATGTGTAATTTTCTGCAGGGAGTTATTTTAATTTTTTCTCCATGCTGAGTAAAACTATTGGGTGAGCAGTGAAGCATGAAGAAGCACTGGTGTCTCCGATGGGTAATAGTTAAGTAAGAAAAAGTCCATGTTGCCCACACTCACCCGCTTCAGCCTCCCAGGCTGCCAGGAGGCCCTATGCTTCCTTCCTAGGGGACAGACCTGGGAGAGAACCAAGGGCTTTGCCTGGAATGGGGGCAGTGTTGGTCACACCCGCCAAGCAAGGTGCACTAGCCTCGCTTTGCACTGAGTACCTCCTCCCAGCAGGGCCTGGGCCTCTCTTTCCCTGGAGGAGCTGAAAGACTGATTCAGCTTGGCCAGGCTTTCAGTGATGCAGCCGCGCCTGCCTGTTCTCCTCCTGTCACAGTTTACAGGCCTGCACCCAGGCCCAGCCTCAGCTCAGCGGCACCGCAGCAGCCACCAAGCCAAAGGGCTCCGAGCTTCTCCCGTGCACTGGGGATGGGTAAGGCCCAGACCCTTGCTTTCTCCCCTAACCAGAAGCTTCGCTCAGGGTCTGTCTGGGGAACAAATCCTCCCACCAGGCAACCTCCTGGAATGACCTCCAAGTACCAGGGTTTGCCATTGCTCTGGGGAAGTAAGTGGCAAGTGGCGGTGCTCCTGGCTCCCAAAGGGAGACCATGGAGCCTGCTTCTCCACTTCGCCCTGGAACCCACCCACGCTGGCAGCAAGAAAGAAGGGGAAGAAGCGTGACTTACCTTCCCGGGGGAGTGGGAAGAGGGGACACGGCCCACTCTGAGCAATTAGAGGAGAGAGGAGGAAAAAAAAATAGGAAGAAAAAATATCAACACGACCTCGAAGGCGACAGGTCCTTATGGAAATAAGTAAGTAAATAAATAAATAAGGATCCACCCTTTCCCCCCTCCCCACCCTGAAAGGGGGGTGTGGGGGTGGGGCAAAGGAGCAGCACAAGGGCTTTTTAGTGTAACTGAGCATTAGAAATAGGCACAGCTTCCATGTGAATTTAGGAGTTTGAAACTTTTGGAGGTTATTTATGTGAATGGCCTGAAGGCAAGCCCGTGAGTGGCTCTTGGGGGACCACGTGATGTCATTAAACCAAGTTTTATGGTGTAGGGAGAGCTGACAAACCCACAATATATTTACATCATATATAATCTTAACTGTCCAGCCACGCAGCTGCTGGTGAGGTTTAATGCTAGGACAGAGGGCCTGGCAGTTAGAGGGGATTACGGCGCTGGGGATGATGGTGAGAGAGGTTACATCTTCGCAAATGAATCCCAGGCAAACGCTGTAAGTTAATTCTCTCCTTCTCTCTCTCTTCAGACCCTTTCTCCTATTTACCTAACTCCCCCCCACCACTTGAAAGAAGTCAGTTTCCATTCATTAAGGGGGGTGGGAAGGCCTCCCCAGGCTTCCTCAGGCTAGGCTGGGGGAAGAGAAGAAACTGCTGGGATATAGGAAGATGGGGGACTTGTCCCCTCAAACCATGTTTCCCCTCCCCACCCTTTAGCCCTTCTGGCTGTAAGTGAACTGGAGCAAAAAGAGACTTTGGTTCTTTAGAGTTTTAAGAGGTCATCCTGATCCCGTCCCTCTTAATTGGGAAGAAAGCCAGTGGCAGAGATACGGGTGTTTGGTGTTTGTAGGAGTTTATAAACCCTGAACACAAATGTAAAGTGCCTCTGGGGTCCCCTGATTCAGGGAGGGGCCAGTTTAGCCTTTGGCCAGTGGCCCAGAGTCCAGGCAGAGTGGGAAGCTGGGGAGAAAGGCAGTTTTGTGGCTCCTGAGCCAGGTCCCAAAGGATATCCTCCTGCCTTGCCACTAATCTGGGTGGACAGCTGTCCCAGCCTCCAAAGTCTGGACTCTTAGTCTGTCTGAGACCAGTTTGGCTCGACTTCTCCTCAACTCTAGCTGCTGGGGTATTTATTCTTAGCGTCCCTAACCCTTGCCTGAAGATTATCTCTAGGCCCAGGAGGCCTACAGATTTCTCTTGTGAGTGTATGGAAAATGTGTGTTGGATACTGGGTGGGGGTGGGAGGCAATGCCTTTGCTAGACTGGGAAAGCCCCCAGACCTGAGAAGAAAGTGACCCCTGGGGGATGGAACTGGGGGATGGCCAAACTGGGCCCTGTACCCTGGGCCAGTCCTCAGGCAGGACTCCCTTCAGGTTTCTAGGAAGGAGCAGCAAAGGCATCAGACATGGGAGACACGTGTCCTCCACACCTGCGAATGTGTTCCCCCTCCCTATGCATCACCAGGAGCTAAGCCAGGAAAGTGACAACATGTGAATTCAGGCTCCTCTATGCGCCACTGTGGACAGGGAGGGTTTCTAAGCAGGGATAAAGGTCAGCGCGTGGGGGGAGAAAGGGAAAAGGAACAGAGGGGGCAACCTTCCAAACCGGGGCGGGACAGCTTTGGAGCTAGAGAGATCTGGGAACCGGCTTTGTGGAGAGGGTGTAGTTGTGGGGAGGAATGAGAATTCTGTTAGCATCACCCAGGACGCCCAAAAGACTACCGGAGAAGCAAGGCTCCTAAAGAGACAAATAGACCGGGCAGATTCTGGAAAGACAGAGGCCCAAAGACAGGAAGAGTCCAAGCCAAGCCCCCAACTTTTGCTCTAGCGGTTTCTCGCCTCCACCTAGGAGCGCAGGCGCCCAACATGGAGGATTCCTCTCTGCCTTCTCTCTGGATCTCGGTCCTCGGCCAAGACTGGGCCTCCCTCCCCACGCCCGCCCACACCTTTATTTCCCTGGGAAGTGTTTGGATCCCAGAAGATTGTCTCCATTCAAAACATTAACTCAGGCTTTCCCATCCCTTTACCTGCCCTCTTCAACTCCTCTGCACCAGTCTGTGGTTTTGAGGGTTTCTGGAGATTTTCCGACCCAAGCAGCAGGGAGATGGGAGTTTCCGTGGTCTATAGCTTGAATTTCCCCCTGGCTCGGGCCTCCCCACGGCCC